CCTCGGTGCAGCTTCTATCCTTGTATGATAACAAGGCCGTTACAGTTCCTTCAATAGGCAGAATGGACCCATCCGACGGCAAGACAGACACATCTGCTCCAGTATCAATCTTGAAAGCGATGGTATCCTCTTCATTGAATCCTAGTGTTATCGTCCAAGGGTTATCTGACTCCACTTTTTGAATGTTGACACATCCAATAAAGAGATTATAATCGGGTTCATGAGAACATCCATGAGCGTATTCTTCTTGATGTGAGCTCTAGTCCAGGGGTGAATGTCCCCCATCTTGGATGTCAACGGGATATTCGTAATCAACTTCTAGCTCGTTGACTCGTTTGTGTGGGCACCATCCACATACATGCCTAGCATTTTCAGATTTCCGAAAGGTTTGAGGATTATAATTGGTTGACGTTGGCGTTCCCCCACCTCTGAGGTTGCAAAAACGGTATATTGGTGTTGGTTTTGGCTTGAACCCCGTATGACTGCGTCTGACCTCTTCAATAGCTGTCTCAGTGATAGTAGTATTGAGTTCAGCTTTCTGTTTGGCTAGCCCCTCTGACTTGCGTATCATATTAACTGCGGTTTCCAACTTAAGATCAGATTCTAATTGGAGACGATCACTCAAAACTTGATACTTCATTCCTATGATGATGACCATTAAGAGCATATCATCTTCCAAAGTCCCCCAATCACAAGTTTTAGATAGGGTCCGTGAATCAGTAGAAAAATCTTCAATATGTTCTGTTTGTTGTTGTTTTCTTCTCAAAAACTTTGCACATTCGTAAATAACATTCTTCTTTCGGTTGAAATATCCATCAAATTTTTCAAGAACTTCGGCATATTTGCTCACTTTTGCCACCCATGCAATAAATCAGCATGTCAATTTGCTCATTCCCTGGTGCTGTTGTTAGTTTACTAACTGATCGTTATCTTTCAAACCTCTTCTTCCAAGAATCCCAATTCGTCGGTACGAACGAAAACGCCTCTGACTCCAGCACACTTATTTTATCACTCATTTCTAGTGAATACGATCGTGTGAGGTACGAAATTCAAGTCTTGTGTATGTCCTTTCGATCAATGTCGACAGCCAAGGGAGGAACAATTGTTGATATTTGTGCCTTATAGATCATGAGCAGCTGACTGGAAGAGAAATAGCTCCTGGCCTAAAATGGAAAACCAAGTGATTGGGATGCACTTTTAGCAATTGATCTCACGTTATTTTCCCAAGAAAGGTTATTGCTGATAGTTATACCAAACATCGAGATGGATGTCTTCAAAGGTATGGTTACTCCTGACAAGCTAATTTTGGGCACATTGAGATCGGCTTTTCTAGAGAAAAGGCGTGCTTGCGTTTTGTTTGCGTTGAAATCTAGTTATTGGATCCCCTTTCGAGAATTGTTGCCAAGTCCATATTTATGTTGTCAATATCTCTCCCTCGTTCGTTTCTGATTTGCCTGGTTGGTATTGGAGCCCTGGAAGAGGGGGTATGGAGGGTACTATCATCCGCGAAGCTATGTGGACATGAAGTTGCTCGCAACAAATCTTTGATATGGAGTAGAAATAGTGTTGGTGCTAGAATTGATCCTTGCCGAACACCAGCATTTATGATAAGAGAGTCAGATGAAACTCCGTCGACCACTACATGGAGAGACCTGTTTGAGAGAAAACTAGCAAGCAGAGAACATAGCTGGGGAGGCAAGCCATATAATGGAAGGTTGGTGAGGAGTCCGTGGTGCCAGACTCGATCGAATGCCTTGGAGATATCAAGTGCCACGGCTAAGGTTCCTCCATATTTTTGAATAGGTTGCTGCGATACCTATATGTGAGACGTGAGCGAGCAGGTCACCAGTTGATCTCTGATGACGGAAGCCATTTGCCTATCGTTGATAATACCTGAATGTTCCAGGTATTTCATGAGCTCGATGTTGATAGCTTTCTCCATGATCTTGGAAATGATAGATAGCAGTGCGATCGGTCTTTAGTTGCTAGGTAGGGTCTTTTTGCCTTTTTTAGGAATTGGTTGTACTCTTGCAATTTTCTAGTGAGATTGTTTGGTCGGTACGTCGGTAGCGGGAAGTTTTGTTTGGGACGTCGTACGTAAATAGTTGGTGGTCGGGGCGTCGATCGCGAGAATCGGAATTGGACGTCGGAAAATCGCTCGAATTGGGAAACTCTGCTAAGAGTCTCGGACCCGGAGGTATGAGTTTTGTTTAATTTGTGAAAATAGGTAGGTACCCAGTTCATTTGTGACGTGAAGTTTTGTGCATTATTTTGGATATTACGGGAAGAAACTTCTGCTAAGCGGTTGAAAGGGTGAGTGCCTAGAAATTAGGCAGACTTTTGATTGGTTGATTATTGTAGATACAGGGTGGGCACGTTGAGATAAGACACTGCTTAAATGGCCATCAGTCTGCTTAATGTTGTGTTCCCTTTGCTATGCATTATGAATATCTAAGGTTTTGATTTGCATTTTTTTTTTCATTACGTGATGACATAATTGTTGTTAGTAGACCACCCTGTTTATAAGAATATGTTGATCATCCATCATTTCGAGATTTTGACCACCGTTTGAACCAGAATGGCATGAACACAAAGCCAATTGAAATTAGAGCATCAAATTATGCGTTCTCTTATGAAAATATTCATATTTCATTTTAACAGTACATTTTTGGAAAACTTCACAGCTTTGATAATTATCCTGTAGAATCTTATTTCGAAGAAATGCAATAATCATGTGTATAAGTTCGATAGTCAATGAAACAAGCATTCAAAAACTGAAAAAGGATTGAAATTATGATGTTTCAAATTTGAACCAAAAAATGCGATTTTACGTTTCATGTGTTGAGCAGTTTAGTTTAAACTGAAATATCCGATGGAATCTGACATCTGACAACCGTGAAACGCCCACAAGCGAAAAATGAATGTTTTTCTGCAACCGACACAAAAGTCGTCCATTTTGATACCAAAATTAGCTCTTAAAATGACGATTCTATTACTGACACAAAAATAGGTATGTTGCTAGGCAACATATTTAGTTCCTAGGAGCTAAAGTTGAATTTTAGTTCCTAGGAGCTACAGTTGAACTTTAGCTCCTAGGAACTAAAAAGAATCTACTGGACGTCATCTAGAATAAACAACATTGTGACAGTTGGTTATTTGGGTTGAGACGCATACCTGATTTGTTACCGATTTCAGCAGATTTGGCATTTTATACCCATGCTGGAGATATAAATACACCTTATTATAGTTTAGTATTGGAATTATAAACGTCTCAGTTGAGTATTTTTGTGTTGATCAGGGAAGCCTTCAAGATTCAAATACTTGCTTGATCTATATTTCATTCGTTATTCTCGGGATGGATAACTTGTTTTTGAATAATCACGGCAAGCAATAGTTTTTTTGTCTCAAACAACGATATTGTTTAGCTTCATTTGATTATCAAGTCAAACACAGTGTAGTTTGGAGAGGAATAAATAATCACTATTATCATTGTTGATATGCTCACTAACCTAACATTTTCCACGTCTTGTTCCTATAGCTGGCACTGGCGTGGTATTTGCCATTAGAGCACCTCCTGGTCCATACACAAATATGTCACTCTGTGGTTGTATTTATATTGAAACTACAATTCGAACATACTAGAAAACCTAACCTGCTGTTAATGCAGGTAGAATATTCTCACCACATGGATTATTTGTCAATATTTGTTGCATTGCATACATATGGCACGGCATTGGTGGTTACTTCACATGTTTATTTGAGTTAATTGTTTCGGTTGCAGAAAAAATAGCATGTTTCATTCGGATCAAAAGTGACTTTGTTCGCCTCGCAAATTTTGCTATCGCTCGGCTTCGCTAAACGCTCCGCCTCGCAAATGCAAAATTCGCTTGTCAAACAAAGTGTCACTTTTGATCCTAATAAAACAATCTACTATTTCTCCAAGCGGCAGGGATAGTGGCTTTTTCCTGTCGCTTAACAGACAGAAAAGGTGTACTTTTACTGCCTAGGCAGAAAAAGTTTGTTGCTATGCAACGTTCCAAGAAATTCTGATGAAATTGGTAATCAAAATTGACACTGACATTGGGTGAACTCAAAATGATGGAGTTTTCAATAAAAAAATTACACAAAATTGGTTTTATATCATTTGGAGAAAAAATTCTATGTTTCACACGGCAGCAAATGTAGATTGACTGCCTTGGCTGAACTATCAGCCGCGGCAGTCAATCTACTACTCTTCTGCCTAGTAAAACAAATAACTATTCTGAGAGCCGCTCTACAGTTTCCAATTTTTCATTGCATTAAAATGATTGCTCTCATTCATATTTCCGGCAAAAATAATATGAAGGCTATTCAACAATGAATCGGAATGACCGGCTTGCAATGTATTTTTGTCATAAATTCTGTGTATTACTTCTCACCGAGTTTTGAGTAGGATAGTAGAACCATGAAAACAGTAACATCCAATGTGCTTCTAATGATGCATAAAATTAATGGATGAAATTCCCAGAAACCATCATTTTATCACTAGAATTGCACCAGCAATACAAATTGCCGCAATATAAATAGGTCCGGAGTAATTTTTTGCAATGCAACGAAAAATTGCTGTTCAAAAGGACACTAATAATGCGATGGCGCGCAATGAACATCGCTGCATTTTTTTAAATTTTGAACTGTAAAGCGCTTTCAATGAAGATTTCGAATAAGTAATAAGTTGCATAAGCATTTATTATGTTTCATTCAATCAATAGTTCCAGCTCGAGTTCCAGTTTGTTTTGCAAAGATGGCATAGTTTATTATGTTATGCTTTGAGATTTTTGACGAAAATAAAAACTTGGTTTATTTCTTACGTTCTTGTATTTTGTTTAAGTGAATAAAATTCGTTATCAAGTGAATTAATTCAAAAAAGTCAGACTTCTATAAGAAGTTTTTGATGGAAAATATTCATTCAACAATTCAAGAGATGGGTTTTGCAAACTTTTCAATATGAATTTACTTTCTAGGAACTGTGGAACTTGATGACTGGGGAGTATTTTTACATGCCAAAGATAAAGTATTCAGAAATTTTGAAGATATTCGAAAAGAGATTGAAGATGAGACTGAGAAACTGGCCGGAAATAACAAAGGCATTTGCCCTGAGCCAATTAATTTGAAAATTTACTCCACCAGAGTTGTGAATTTAACTCTGGTAGATTTACCTGGCATAACGAAGGTAATTTACTATAATAGTTATTTTTGTATCTAGAGCGCGAAATGCTACTTTGGTGATCGAGATCTGAATTTTTAACGAGGCGTAGCCGAGTTGAAAAATAGTCGAGATGACCAAAGTATTTCGCGCTCGAGTTGCAAACAAAATTTTTTCTGCAAACGTCAAAAAATATAGTTCTAAAGTAGAAATATGACGAGGTGTAGCCGAGTTAAAAAATAGTCGAGATGACCAAAGTATTTCGCGCTCAAGTTGCAAACAAAATTTTTTCTGCAAACGTCAAAAAATATAGTTCTAAAGTAGAAATATGCTCAGCTTGATATAAAAAATAGTCTTGAACTGGCTTAAAAGGTACGCACGATGGTCCACGAACATAATAGGAATTTCCTTTCGTGCGCTCCAAGAGATAGAACAAAGTTATTGGTGAACATTCAGAAATAAATAATTTCGTGGATGTTTGCTCTATTGAGGACCATAAAGTTGAAATATAAATATCTCATATATTTTAAATTACAATGCGCGAAGTAGGTACTTCGCGCACTGTTTTACTTCGCTTGTTTTGTGCTAGGTATCATGGTAACGTAGGAAACTGAAAAAAAGTGTCACTTCGCAATTTGTTATCAATGCGCGAACCTTGTCATTTTTTGACGTTTGTAGAAAAAACTAGTTTAGCAAAAATTGATTTCAATAATGGATTATTAATTTTGACTTGAAAGTTATTTGATGGATTTCTCTTTAGTAATTCATGTTTACTTGGACTTATGATTATTTTGATTGCATGCTATTAAAGTTGTATGATTATTTGAATTCTGTTGATTTTGCTAACAAATTGGAGTTCAAGAAATTCAACAGAATTTTGTTTAGTACAATAATAGTGCTATTTTTAGAGTAATATGCAATGCAAAGTTGAAAAGATTTGTAATTGCCAAGACATGAAATTTCCGGAATACAGGGATTTTGAGCATGGACATAAATACTAATAAATAGTCGTAGTAGTAGTAGTAGTAATTTATGTACTTCATAGGTATGTATGTATGTACAGGGTTATCCATCCAGAAGGTCTATCCCTATATTTACCTTATTTTTTATCAAGAAAAAAACAAACCATATGCGGAAGTTGAATGCCGGAATGAGGCCTTTCCACAGCCCTCATCAGAAGTTTTACAGGGTGATCCCTGAAAGCGTGACAAACCACAAATTGATTTTTTTTAAAGAACACTCTGTTTTTCATATTTTTTTTCGAAATCTGTGATTTTTTGTGATCACAAAAGTATGTATACATTTAGTGTGATATCTCCTATTCTCACTTCATTATCTTCACATTTTTGACCCCAGAAAAACATTTTTTATTTGATTGGTGATCACTCAATAGATGATTAGAAGCTAACACGAAAAAATTGTTTTTCTGGGGTCAAAAAAGTTTAGATGATGATGTGAAAATATCATATCAATAGCATACTGTATATTGATTCTTTTGTGATCACAAAAAATCACAGATTCTCCAAAAAATATGAAGAAATAGGGTGTTCCATTTGGAAAAATAATTTTTTTTCAAGCGTTTAGGGATCACCCTGTAAAACTTCTGATAAGGGCTGTGGAAATCCTCATTTCGGGATTCAACTTCCGCATATCGTTTGTTTATTCTCGATAAAAATAAGGTTAATATAGGGGTAGGCCTTCTCGATAAACAACCCTCTACAGTGTACAGTGTATCCAGTTGTCGATGCTTTTTGCGTGATATCGCATCAGTAATCTTTGGAGATAGAGTGTTGCCTTTTTTCACGTCCCTTTCCTACTTTTTCTGAATCGAATAATGCTGTAATCATAATTTTCACAGTCCTTCATGCTTTTGAGATACAGGGTGAAGTTGAAAATTCTCACTTTTTTGAGCAGCTGATCCTGGTTACTTTTCAACTTATCGGCAGAATGGGAACGGGGCCTTATATAACTTTCTACGTATAATACAGTGGCGTACTAATTTTCTGTAATTGCTCATTTTTAGAAAATGGAGCCAAATAAATTTGAAAAAATTAATATTTATCTATTTTTGATGAGCTATAGGAATTCTAATTCGAACTGGGTAAATAAATACAATAAAAATATTCCATTTGAGAAATCATATTTTGGCTCCATTTTCTAATAATGAGCAATTACAGAAATAAAATGAGTATGCCACTGTATTATGCGTAAAAAGTTATGTAAGGACCCGTTCTCCTCTTGCCAATAAGTTGAAAAGTAACCAATATACGGGAGGTGATGAAAAAGTGAGAATTTTTTTACTCCGCCCTGTATCTCAAAAACATGAAGGATTGTGAAAATTATGTTTGCGGCATTATTCGTTCCACAAAAAAGTAGGACAGGAACGTGAAAACCGCAACACTCTATCTCCAAAGATAACTGAGACATCGCGCAAAAGCATCGAAAACTGGACACACTGTACATACCAACTGGCCAGCGACCTTGGTCCTTCAGCCCATGTGTGTTTTGTTTGGCTTACTAACTCCATACGTCACCTTAGGAGCAGCAAAAGGCTACGAAAATTAGAATTTATAACTCATATTATAGAAGAAAATTCTCTGTTCTGCAGAGGATTCGAACCCAGCAACATTTCGATGTTCTGATGATCACTATAGTTGAGCGCCTCTACTACTGCACTATTCCGCCGTGTGAATATAAATAATTCATCAAATACCAAATGAGTACTGAAAAGATAAGGAAAATAATGTTCATACATTTCTAAAGACATACAGAAAGTTTCAAGAGTGTTCCTAAAAGATCATGCGTCCAATTGAATATTTTGGTAACTTTTGGTTAGTGCAATATCTTAATATCCCAGAAAAACATTTGTGGACATTTATTATTGTAAAAACTTCACATTGCATTATCAAAAAAATCAGAAACGAAGAAATATAACAATATGAAAAGCTACTGAAAACTTGAAAAAACAGAAAATGTAGTAAGTAAATTAACTGAAATGTTTTAAACACCATCAACTGTTAATTTTTGAGTGAAGGGGCAGAATCAAAACCAAAGCTTTGGTACATTGCTATATTCGATGTTAACTATCTTCCCAATAAGTATGTAACATATTTTCATTATACCGTTGATGAAGGGAGTTTATAATGTATAGTTAATGTTTGTTGGATTTTGTAGGTTCCTGTGGGGGACCAACCACCAGATATTGAACAACAGATACGAGAACTAGTACTGAAATATATCGCAAATCCTAACTCAATTATCTTAGCTGTTGTGACCGCAAATACAGACATGGCCACTTCAGAAAGTATAGCAATTGCCAGAGATGTTGATCCAGATGGTTGTAGGACTCTGGCTGTTGTTACAAAATTAGATTTGATGGATGCAGGTGAAAACTTTTGTTTAATACCTTGTTGATTTGTATTTATAGAGGACATCCCAGATTTACTTGCTATGATTTCAGTTTGCCATATATGGCAATATATACTATCTCTTTATATCAATAATATGTAGTTATCATGTTAGAAACACTTATAATTAAGTCAGCATTGCAGAGTTGACAATCATCCATTTGTAGAACAGTATAACACTGCCCTGCTAAGTAAAACCGCCCTATATCGTTTTTTTTTTACCGAAAACGAGTTAGAACCTGTCTCATACAGATAGTACTGGTTTCTAACTATTAACTAAGTAAGTATACCGTGAAATGACTCTGAACATTATTTATTCATTATTTTTAAAACCCTTATTTGAAAATATCATTGGCCCAACTAAGCAAGAACACAGTGAATTGCTGTTGCTTAGCAGAAACATCACAAAAGAAATAATAGTCTTCAATCTATTTTATTGGGACTCAACATCGTTTATCTCGGTTCCACAATTTTACATTTTTGAGGGTTTTGCTTATCAGGGCAGAATATTATTCACAATAGACAACTCGTCGCCCTCACCTGACGGCAATAATTTGAAGCTTTCTGAGCAGTTTGTTTGATGGATGTGTACAGCAGTAAGTCATTCATTTAATTCATTTATAGTCTTTAAAAGGTTTTGATAGCATAATCTTCAGGAATAGTAGCTCACATACTTGTACATTTACACCAACAAAGTAATCCACCTCCATCTAAAATATCAAAGCAAAACACAGCAAAAGTCTGAGTTGTCTATACTCAGGAAATCTGCTTGAATTCATCTATCTGCAAGTTGCTGAACCATTCAGGAATTTCCTCCTTTCTGAAGCAGCAAAATCACTTCATTATTCTGATGGCTTTAAAATAAACACCGGCCCTGGTTCGACATTCCTTCGTCCTTGTCGCTCCTAGATACCGCCACCTACTGACTAGACTTTCTGGCTTCATTGTTCTCATAAGAGGATGGTTCATTTTGTTAGTGTAAATAATAAAGGCTCACATAGTAAGTCCAATAAGAGCATCGGACCCTCTCTTTGTTTCTTCGGGTATATTTATGAAATTTGGAGCATTGATTATATAATCCAAAGATTGGTTGACCAAGGTCCTCTTACCCATGGTTTCAGTAATTGTTTGGTGATCCATTTTATGTCGATTCCACAAATTATAAAATTGTGCGAAACATTATGTAGATATTTGTGTAATGAGTTGATATTGATTGTTACATGACACATCCTGTATGTGTATATCTGGGACATTATTTAATCAAAATTGCTTTTCAACATAAACATGTCTTCTTGTTATTTTTTAGGTACTGATGCTATTGATATATTGTGTGGCAGAGTGATACCTGTCAAATTGGGTATAATCGGGGTTGTCAATCGGTCTCAGGCCGATATAATGAACAACAAGAGTATTGCTGATTCTCTGAAAGATGAAACTCAATTCCTACAAAGTAAATACCCAGCCTTGGCTGGTAGAAATGGTACTCCGTACTTAGCTAAAACATTGAATAGGTTGTTGATGCACCATATCAGAGACTGCTTACCAGATTTAAAGGTAACCATTGTTATGTGAATCATTCCGAGAAAATGATCTATCCTTTGTGACAGGTTGAAATTGCTCAACATTTTTTTTTGTATAAACCAATTTCCATTAAACATCACCTTTACTTTCCTTCAATTCAAATTTGAAATAATTTACATAAATGGGTGTATATGTATAGAACAATATCTTAACAGATCACTCTGAAGTTCTTGCTTGTATCCAATTCCCCAGATAAAATGAAAAAAATACAAATACAAATGAACACCAAGTCACAGTACACTTTTAGTCGCTGGGGATTTATTTATTTTTATGTAACTTTTATTTGATGATAACCATTCCTCATTTTAAATATCTAGCGGCCTTCTGATGGTGAAGCTAGTTTTTGAGTAATATCACATACTGGTATACATACTGGTATTTTGTCCGTTTCGTTCTTTGAGTTTCTCCGGGACTACAAATTGGACCAAATCGATTCCACCGTGTCTAAATGAACCGGACTCTTTGGGAATATTCCACTCATTTCATAATATCCGTTTTTGATTGGTTGAAATAACTGTGTTGGTAATCTAAAACATTATGTTTTCAATTTTGTATTTCAGCAGTTGATTGATACTAATTATGCTGTTTTTGATTTTGTATTTATTTTGCTTCTTTATGGGTAGTTTGATCAAATATAAATAGTATAAAACAAAATAACATACCATCAGGCTGTCATGGATGTCATAATATGTTTTTATTCAGGAACTCAACACAAAATCGTGATAGGCACTCACTTTTGATTTGTATGGAAGAATTTCAGAATTTCGTACGATAACATAATTTCAAACTTGAAAATCCTTGGATCATTTAACAGTTAATAGTGAAGTGAGTCACTGACATTGGTCACGCCCTTCTCTTTTTCGCGCTATGCGCTCGTGTGGTTTCCAAGCAACATAATTTGTTTCTGGAAATCAATAATCATCAATAAAATTATAGCATTACATACGGAACTGTGTTGATGCTCTTAAGTTTGTGGGAGGCTAGTTGAAGGGTCATTATTTCAAATTTTCATTTAACCTCGCCTATTTTTTAGACTAGAGTTAACCTTATGATCTCACAATACCAGTCTTTACTGAACTCTTATGGAGAAGATATATCTGATAAGAGCAAAACCTTGCTGCAAATAATCACGAAATTTGCATCTGCTTACTGCTCGACTATTGAAGGTACTGCCAGAAACATTGAAACCACAGAGCTTTGTGGTGGCGCTAGGATATGCTATATATTCCATGAAACTTTCGGAAGAACGTTGGACTCTATACATCCACTGTCAGGTCTAACCAAGATGGATATTCTGACAGCAATAAGGTAATACAAATGTAAACTTGGAACATCTCAGCTGGCTGCTTTTTAGTACCATAGCAAATGGCATCGAATTTTTCACACTGTACTATTTGTTACATTTTTTATATCATTTTGGTACCAATCCTTATTCTTGATTTTTTGAAATGTGGATTCTGAGGCCGGTTACTTTTGGTTTTCAAGTTCACATAAAGGTTGCAGAATAAATGTTACAGGTTAGATACTTTTCAAAAATAGTATTTTCTTCGGTGACTATGTACCACTGTGATAATGTCAAAAAACTGTCACAAACTGTAGGCGGGGGTTGCCTAAGTTGTATTCAACATCCATTAGAGAATGGACTTTAATAGTGATAATGATAAATAATACTCCAAAGGGTTTCCAACAAAACAAATGCACACATTTATTCTTGGCATCAATGAATAACAATTAATAAAAACTTAACTTACCCTATATGTACATTATATAAAGCAAATATTGCTGAGAGCCTTGAGGAAGGGCATCTTCTGTTCTGTCCTGAACTCCGATGGTTCGGGTACAGGGGTTAATGATTGAATCAAATGAATGCGCCTTTTATATGTCAATCAATATTTGGAAACGTGACATTGAGGAAGTCCGGTGGATATTCCTGGTTCGTTGAAGTCATTGTCACGCCTGTGTTTATGTTCAAATACTAGTCGATAGTTCGTGGTTTAATAATTTGGGATTAATAAACATTGACGTGACCGTTCAATGACTTCGAATATAATTTTATGAGAATATTGGAATTTTACTTAAAAATGGCAAAGAATAAATAAATTAATGAGTGAACATGATATTTACTATGAATACGGCATACACAGCCATTTCACCTCACATATCAAAATCTGAACAAATTTAACCACTCTACTTATTATTTATCTCACTTAACAACCATTTCATGAACATTATTGGTAAGTCACTGAAGCTGATCTATTCGAATCTAGTCTTGAAACTCTTTAAAAGTACTATCGTTACATGAAACAATGGTGGGTAGAGAGAGGGTGAACATCGCAAATGAGAATAGCAATACACTTCTTATAGATGTTTTCTCCATCTCTGTCTATGTAGCGTTTATGTTCATAAGCGTTTATAAGTTAATATAGTGTTTGCACTGATGCGCTTTTGTTTTGCCCAAACTAAACGACAATAAACAGTTGAAAATCGCAATATGAGGTTCTTGTTACATCTTTTTCTATTAGATGTCGTTGTACGGATTCTTCTAAAAATGGAAACAGGAACTCAATTATCAAAATTTTATCAAATACTATAAAACATGAACGTACCTACTTACACCATTTTTGTTTTTTGTCATGATTGTTGTAATTTGGTCATCATTTGATGCAATGGCCATCAAAAATATAAGGATATCAGCGCCTCTTGCAGATTTTCTATGAACAAAAACCTTTATAAGTAATCATGGCAACCAGCCTTTATTAGGAACATTCTTATAAACATCTCGGTTTAGATTTAAGTACTGGATTTTGATCAAGCGCGAATATACAGTGTGACCCACTTCTAATGGAAGCACCCCCGTATCTCACGCAATAATTGAGATAGGGTTCTGAAATTTGCAGGAGGAAGGGAAAGTCCAAAGATAAAGTCAATTACCTAAGATACAGGGGTACTTCCGTAAAAAGTGCTACAAAATTTAATTTTTAAGAACTGAAAATTTTCCAGGAAAAATATGAATAGTTGGTGAATTGGGCGTCCTGATTCCGAATCTGAAGTGATTTTCGACCTATTTTGACTCCTAATATCATTTTCCGGAAATTGGGGTGGTTCCATGGCTGTTGGCGAGCAGTGTATATCACTGAAGATGGCCCCACTTGGTCATAGAGTGCATTTTTGGTGAATTTCTCGCTCCAGCAAATTCCAGGATCCTTACCCAACGATTACGTAAGATACAGGGGTGTTTCCATTAGAAGTGGGTCATACTGTATATAACGACATTTCACTCATCACATAATCTGACCAATCACAAGCCAGACACAACTTGTGATATCTCTCTTTCAATTCTGATTGGTCTATCAGCGTTGGTGTTTTCAACGGTGTAACCTAGGAACGCGCGATACTCCACGAACATTATAGGAATTTCCTTTCGTGCGCACCAAGAGATAAAAAAAGTTTGGCATCAAATAATTAAAGCTGTAGTTGTCAGAATGAATCGCTCATTTATAATGAATGCTGTTTATGCTTCATGGACGTAAAATAGTCTAGCAAAATATCACCCTGCTCTGAATATCTTATAATTGTGTCTCTCATTGTTCACCCAATTGTGTTGATGTATAGCAATACCCCTGACTGACTCGTGGTGTTACTCGGTAACATAATTTCGTGAACAATGAAGCGACTGAATTATCTTGAATATTCAGAACATCATGATATTACTCATGAAAATATCTTTGCCGACAATCATTTTGGTACAGCTTGCACAAATTTCGATATAATTAATTCAATTATTTCGTATTGATGATGCAGAAATGACGTACATCTATTATATTCAGGTTTGTTTTGTATAAAAAAGTTCATTTGGGCGATGACAATTGCTGATAATATTTTTCATTATTGAATTACAGAAGAGATTGAAATTTATTGAAGAACAAAAGAGGTTAGAATTTTTGCATTCCAATTTCAACAAGGTATTTTTGTAGAAATGCTAATGGACCTCGACCAGCTCTGTTTGTTCCTGAAGTATCCTTTGAATTGCTAGTCAAAAGACAAATCAGAAGACTGGAAGAACCCTCTTTGAGATGTGTGGAGTTGATTCATGAAGAAATGCAAAGAATAATCCAGCACTGCGGAAGTGAGGTGAGTATGCCAGGTGCGAACCAAATTAGGCTTACCTATGTTGTCCTGTCTCTTTCCTGAATAGAAAAATGAAACCCGTGAATTGGTACTTCAAGCAAAAAAACACTTTGCGTCTGGAACTTTGCTTAATCAACTGTTTTCCTTATGATCACAATATTGATTTTAGTCTTTTTGAATGAAGAGAGCTCTTTCTTTCAAAATATGCAATATATACAGGATGTCCCACTAAGGTCGGCGAGGTACGATATCTTGGAAACCATAAACCTCAGGACTTCGAGGAAAAAAAAAATTAAGAACTAAATCGGCCAAGAAAAATTGATAGAAAATATTTTCAAGTTCATAAAACGACCGCTAGGGGAAGCAATCTTTATGATAAAACTAAAAATTGAATTTATCTCGAAAACCATTATATTAAGATAGTGTTTCAATGACGGAAATGCAAAGTTCATTGAAATTCGCGTCAGTTTATTCCAGGACTTTTTTTCATATCTTGAAAAATAAAGGTGGGGGAAGCTGGTGAAGAAATCATTTTTGAAAACGCTTGATCTCCGATATCTTTCCTCCAAATTCGATCGACTTAGGCTCATGTGGAAGAGAATTTCACACCACTGCAAACACTGAATTTGACATTGATCTCTAGTTCACACAGCGTCTACTAGATGGCGTCGTTCACCAAATATTCTGTTTTTTTGAATTTTTCCGAAAATATCAAATGGAATGATACATATTTTGATCAACAGATTCAAAATGCATCAAATTAGCTGCATTTTGGCGAAACCGGGATTTGGTATCTTTATCCGTTTTCGAGTTATTCTCGAATAACAAAATTTTATTTAAAAAAAATCCTGTTCAATCTTGAACAAATTTTCTGATTTGTGTTATCTTAAGTAAAACTGCATTTGAACAAAAGAATTAGCAACTTAACCTGCGCTATTGATTAAAATGCTTATTTTTCGAATTTTCAGCCTTTTATTGCATGTTTTGATCTAATATTCTCGTTCCATGTGCAAAATAATAATAATTGATGCAATTATCATCTCCTCACTGATGTCAAACTACATACTTATTACAGTTTAGTTAGCAACTATCTGCATTGAAGTATGATTGTTTCCATAGGTATCACGATAAAAGTAGAGGAATAGGAGATTTGTAATGTGAACATGATTTCTTTTGAATAAAATAACTCGAAAACGGATGAATATATCGAATCGCGATTTCCGCCAAAATGTAGCTAATTTCATGCGTTTTGGATCTGGTGATCAAAATATGTAGCTTCCCATTTGATTTTTTCGGAAAAAAAAAACAGAATCTTGGGTGAACGACGTCATCTAGTAGACGCTGTGTGAACTAGAGATCAATGTCAAATTCAGTGTTCAAATTGGTGTGAAATTCTCTCCCAAATGAGCCCAAGTTGATCAAATTTGGAGAAAGGATATCGGAGATAAAGTGTTTTCAAAAATGATTTCTCCACCAGTTCCCCCTACCTTTATTTTTCAAGATATGGAAAAAAGTCCGGGAACAAACTGACGCGAATTTCAATGAACTCTGCATTTCCGTCATTGAAACAGTACCTTAATTTAGTGATTTTCGGGAAAAATTGAATTTTTAGTTTTATCATAAAGATTGCCCCCTAGCGGTCGTTTTATGAACTTGAAAATATTTCCTATCAATTTTTCTTGGCCGATTTAGTTCTTGATTTTTTTTCCTCGAAGTCCTGAGGTTTATGGTTTCCATGATATCGTACCTCGCCGACCTTAGTGGGACACCCTGTATAGGTTCTTTTTTTCCCAATTTGGAATATCTTTCGTTTTCGAGATATCAGCTTTTAAAGTCATGAAATCCATAGTCAATCACCGGTACAATTATTGTACAGCTACGTGTACAGGGCTATTAGAACTTCATTTATATTATAAGGTACAGCAAGAAATGTTGCGTTTCCCGAAACTCTACGAGAAAATTGTCGATGTCGTAACTCAGTTGTTGAGACGAAGATTACCAACAACAAATGAAATGGTGGAAAATCTTGTGGCCATCGAGTTGGCGTATATAAATACGAAACATCCCGATTTCTACAAGGAAGTAGCCATGGTTCCGTCCATGATCAAATCCGGCGATGGTTCGTCTAGGGAGGGATCTTCTAGGCCCGGTCGTCCGAAAAGTTTGTACGGTAAATACCAGGAACCAGCGGATCTGGTAAGTAAGGTAGTGTATTCGTTTTCCTGTTTTACTTTTGAGTTCATGTAAGTTACTTTTTGTTTTATAATTTTCCGTTATGAATTTTTTTTAAACCTACATCCTGTTGAAAATTCATAACATGATGTCATGTTCATGTTAGGTTCTTATTTGTACCACAGTCCAATAAGAAAGTACCTACACACAACAAGAAAATATACGCCAGTGACTTCAGCAAAGTATAATCGGGCAGACTGAGTGCATCGAGTTCTTCAATATTAACAAATACCAGTAATAAACCTTACTCCAGACTTTATATTTTTTGTACTTCTGATATTTATCAAAATACATATAAACCAATCTTCAATATCACATCTGTGATAGTCATTCATTCTGAATCCTGTGACTAAACTGCTCAAAGAGAAACTGAATATGATCACACTGAGTATTTATTTGTTATATTGAGGAAATATATTTTTGGCCAGTTTTTGACTCCTATGATAATAAACCTATTCCCCCCTTACCGTAAAATTGTTTCATGGTTGTAGATCCAACATAAACCATCAGTTCCGATTGAAGCATCACATGACCAAGCCGACTTCTTCAATTATCTCTTCCACATATTACCTGTTTCTAGCTATAACGATTTCATGAATGCAGTTCAGGTATATATTAGATATGCGATTCCCTATTTTGTGTGGGGTTGGTCATTAATTTGCGTTCACTAATGTCCATGATTTGGTTCCCTAATAAGCTTGACTGTGTGATGTGCTATGATTCATTTTATTTCTTCTGGAAATTCATAATTGCTAGACGATGAATTCAATAAATAATTTTAAATCAGCTTGTAAACGTGAAATCGCGTGGTTCGATCTCCAATCAACATAATACATAGCATTGGATATTCATTTTCAAATCATGATGATTTGTTGAAATGTTCAAACAAAGCTTTTAAAGGAGTTCTAACTCTGTAGGCTGAAAGCCATCGCCTTGTTTCCAATTGTTCTAGATCAGGTAACTATCTGATGAAACACTCAATAAGTTGCTCATCATTGGTATTATAAACGCCTGGCAAGAATAATTTTCATATAAAGAAACGAGTCATGGGCGTCATTGCTCCACCTACTCAAGTCTGGCACGTGTTATAAACGATAATCCTTTCGGTCGGGCCGAAAAATGGACTCGGTCGAAGGAGGTGTTGACGCGATTCGAATTCTCTAATGGAAAATAATTCTTGCCAAACTAGTATATTTGAAATCTATTTATGAATGGATTGTCACTGGCCTAGTGCAACTGATGAGCCTTGAATGACGAAATAGTTTGACTTGCATCTGCTGAAAATTGGGATTCCAGGTTTCTCAATACTTTTCAGTGGAATATACAACCACTTTGAGATTTTCAGATTCTACTTACACTCTTTCCAGTTCACTGCCACAATTAAATGCCGGGCATAAAATATGGTTTGTGAGGGTTGCTGGGCTGTGTGCACGTGAATATATACCAAAGAAGGGAAGATTTGTATTTCGTGCAAAATAATTTATTCAATATTTGTAGCAGAGCGCTTTCGACTGTTAAGTCATCATCAGTGCGTACCACTCGTCAGGTTAACAGGAAAATTCGTCCACAAAAATATCTTTAATCCAGTTTAAAACAAACGACATTTAGGTAAAATACGTTACAAACAAATTAAAGTGTTTCCCAAAAGGGGGTAAAATATAGATTACATTATGTTAAGCAGCCATTGTCGCTGCGACATGTCGTGTTGAAGTGAACTCATCAAGTTCAATTATTTTGCACGAAATACAAATCTTCCCTTCTTTGATATATGGTTAACCAAATGATTGAAAATAAACCTATCATGTAGATCTACAGATCCTTATGACATTTCAAGGTCTCAGGCTGATATTCAGTCGCGATGTTTGCTTCCAACTGGGGGCTTGACAATCTTTTTTAAAAAAATCATTGTTTTTTTCTAGGTTATGTCATCCAATTTAATGAAATACTCAATTTTTATCTTTTTACTAGGCTCAGATTCTTTGCTCCCTGCATGTATTTTTCTTGCAATAATTTTCAGTATTCTTGTCATTGTACAACTAAAACCTATTAGTGCAGTGGTGTTTTTAAATTTGTAGGAATTTCTATGCAAAGAGCAATACATTAGGTATCTTCTTCTTAATTCCTTAGTAAGTAAATAATTAATCCCCATCATTCCAAAATTTCTCCTTTGAAATTGTACTTATCAGATTATTTGAATATCATAAACATCATTTCAAAATATTCCAAAGTCCAAGCCATAATCAAAAACCATTCAAGTGTAAGATTGAATTATTAATCCGAGTTCTGATGAAAATCTTCCATTGTAAGTTTCCTGAAAATATTCCTAATCGATATTTCAGGCCAGATCTTCAAGTAATACCCAACTGAATAACGATGAAGCTATTCCTTGGCAATCGAACCCAATCCAAAACGGCAAAGAAAATGATCACAATGAAATAAACAGCTTGCCAGATAACCTGAAGAACGAGGTTGATCTGAGATCAGTTCTGAGTCCACTGAAACCAGTCAATCTGCTACCACAAGTGCCAATGAATAGCAGCGGTTTCAGAAAATTATCGGAACACGAAGAGCACGACTGTGAAATTATAGGTAATATTTCAGAAACATAATATTTTCCAGTCATTTTCAAACTGATCAGATGTGCCATATTTCACTCAATTAGTCTAATGATGTTTTCTCTGTGAATGGAAAGAAGTTTGCAATGTCATCTGTGTTGACAGGTTATGAAATGTCACTTTTCATAAATTACTTTTTTCCTACGGGAAAAAATGAATAATTTTTTACCCGGATATATTTCACATATACAGGGTGAATCTGAAAGTGAGGTGTTTTCTTCATGTGAAAAATGTGATATAACGGAGGTATAGGCATTTCAAGGTTTCGTATATTAAAAATCTGATTTCATCCATCTGAAGATATATTAGAGAAAATGTGATGAAAAACCACTTCAAAACAAAAATTAATAGGTTGATGAGGTAAAAAGAGGGTTTTGATTAATTTTTTTCAATTTAATGATGCAACTGTAGGGTATCTAATGTTGGACTTATAACGACTTTGCATTTTGAAAGAAAATGTAAACAAAATGTTCGATAGTTGGAGTCTTCTTTGAACATTTGAATATGTGTACCTTAAATATTTTATATGAAAAATTTTTTGCCAAACAACTCATTTTCGTGAGATTTATTATAACCTGTTGAAGAAAACTCACTTTCAGATTCACCCTGTGTACACACTGTTGATGGCTTTTGTTGTGCTATAGTTCGGAAAAATAAGCCAATAACACCGTCTCTACGCGGTTACGTAAATTACTAAACAATCATTCAATTCGAAATTTTGAAAATCAAATCACAGAATTAGACAGACAGATATTTGGTGACTTCAAAAGAATGATAAAGATGTCTGCATCGCAGGTGTCATTCCTGTTGAAAACCTCAAATTTCGCGTTGATAATTTTCTGATTTCAATATAATGTAAAAGCTTCTCAACATTATTGATTCGTCTTTTTCCTGTCACAGAAAAAATTATGTATTATACACGGGAAAAATATTAGATTTTAACTCACGGTTTTTTGTCCCCCTCTGCTACGCGTCGGGAGACAATATAACCCCAGCGAGTTTACCAAATTGTTCATTAATTGACAAACCAGTTTTTGTTCTCATCACTTTCGGTCTCACCAGAAACGACCCTAACTCAAAACGCGAATATCTTGGTAATCGTTTGAAATAGCCCTATCAAATCTGTTACCGTTGAATTCGTTATGATAATCCCTAACCGATTATGGAATGAAATACAGGTGTCCTATTTAAAAATCAGAAGTTAAGATCTTTTCTGGTGAAAACGGAAGTGATAGAACAAAAATTAATGAGCAATTTGGTATACTTGCTACCCCTTGCTACCCACCAATTTTCAAAATCCGATCTCAAATGATTCAGAAGTTACAGCACTGGCCGTTTATTGTGTACTTCTCTGTATATAACTATCATACCGTGGTTGATAAGTGGTAACCAATTTCCTTCACTCCTTCATTCCGTAGTAAGTATATCAAACAAATGACAAGTGAAAACCATGTTAATTTTTTAGTGTTTTCTAAAATATCTGATTTTGTAGGCATGCATTATGTTTGACGTCAAGGTTGAGTTTAAAAACACAAGGTTGAGTTTAAAAACAGCGTAAGCTGACACTCCGCCCTTTCACTTTGATCCCACTTCGACTCACAAAATTTATATGTAATCATTTATTGTTTCCTCATTGTGATTAAAGACGCTTTATTATTATTATTATTAACTGATTCACTCAAGGAAACCTTTCATGGTTGCCAATTTCGGACGTTTGATTGTTCACAAATAAATTTTCACAGGATTCTTAATCTATGAAATTGACTATCATAGATTAAGAATCCTTACTACATAATAAACTGGATGAGATATAACCTTTTTGGAAACCCAGTAGTATGTATGTCATGCAGGTTTTGGAACATAACACAGTTACATAAAATATGAAAGATTCTCAGAATCATCTTATGAAAATACTTTGGACCATTTTGAGAAATGGACAATTTTGATGATTTAATATCATGTGCATGTTTTTATTTATTTATTTATTTATTCATTAATTTTCATTAGATATCAGTTACCAATATATTTCAAATTGTATCTCATTCACATAGGTTGGTGATCTGTGTGTGAAAGAGATAATTTATTACATGTATAAAAAATATTTTTTCACTATGGAAATACTCAATTTAAATATGAATAATCAAGATACATTATTACATGTATAAAAATTATTCATTAACTCTGAAAATAGTCAAATTAAATATAAATAATCAAAATTTATAAATAACAACAATTAAATATGGAAAGAGTTGATTAAAAAAGATCATCATGAAAAGCAGAAAAAACGAACAAGTTCATTGTGCATCATATTTTTTCTTTTTTTCAGAACGTTTGATCAAATCTTATTTCTACATAGTGAGAAAGTCTATCCAGGACACTGCTCCTAAAGCCATCATGCATTTTCTGGTGAATTTCGTCAAAGATAATCTACAATCCGAACTGGTGACGCACCTTTATAAGGCGGACAATGCTGATCAATTGCTCGACGAATCTGAACATATATCCCAGAGGCGTAAAGAGGCCGGAGAAATGTTGAAGGTAAGAACATACAGGGTGGGTCGATGGAGTGGCAAAGGAAGATAGCTCTTTCTGTATTTGTCTAGAAACAAAATCAATGCCTTGATTTACTTGAAGCATAATAAGACTGTTTTCACAGATGAAACCTGCCTGGCACAGTTTTTTCTTTAACATTTGTATAAGCCTGTTCTTGTTTCTATCATTGGAAGGAAATAATTTATCCTGTGAGACCGTCGATTTCATCGTCACGTCAAACATTATATCAACACACTGTTGTTTCTGTTGTCTTCGCAGTCACTTGGCATACTTTGTGCTTTTCATCAATGCATCCACTGGGTATCCATCAAATACAAAGATGCTGTTAGGTTTGAAACATTTTTGTAAATACTCTACATATTTAGTGGTGATTTCTTTGAAGCTTTCTTTTTGTTGCCACAATACACGGTGTGGAGTTTCCTACAATGTTACTTACCCGTGACCGACAACACAGCCACTGCCGATTATGAATATTTATATCATGACACATGATGTAGACAGTGATGGATGACAGGGACTGTTTTTGGCGGTATTATTATTAACCTAAGATGATTGTGAGATTCTTGTTGGAATCATGAGGTAATTAATCTTTATTACTAATATTGTGTTTTAATACAAAACACTACACACGGGGAAGAAGATACCCGCCATCCACAACATGAATCAAATTGTCGACAGGCAGTTGAATGCTTGATGGTGTGAAACAGTCATACAGACTTGATGTTGTGGTCATACGCATGCCTAGCTCATTGATCAATGATAAAGGGTATGGCGCCAATTCATAGTTGAAGTGATTTTTGAGCTGTTCCCCTGCCTTCTTCACTAGCGAAATTGAAATAATAGTACAGGATCGATTGACAAGTCTTCGTTGTTTATTTTAATTGAAGTATGAACATTTGAAATTGGTTGTACCCTAGAGTTCCTGGCAAATTGTATGTTTTCGAAATTTTCTCCAACCATATTTTCCATCAAACTCAATCTAACTTCTTGAGCATTGTGGCAAATTAATATTTTCAGTGCCTTTTATTCCGGTACTGATTGACATAATTCCTCCAAACTCAGGAAAGGGCATATGTGTTGAGTACCAGTCCATGAATTTGTATACGAGCGGATCTTGCGCCAAAAGTTACCGATTTTATATCTGTTACTTCGATTATTGTAGGCATTCCAAGCACCCATTTTCAAGGAAAACTTTCTGTTATTTCTCGCCCGTGTGTGAATCCTCCTGAACTTTTCGAATCTTTCATCAACGTCTGCTCAATTGTCATATCCGTCGAAATGCCTGCCCAGAATTAATCTGATCGTCTGATCGCGAAGTTCACTTTCTTGACATATTTATCGTACTCCAGGGGTGACAAAGTTGATTAAAGTTGGAACATTTCTTGTAAATATAATTGGCCTGATTTGGCGTACAAAAAATGACTGCTGTCATGAAAGAAAGGTAACATTTTTTGTATACTATCAAGTGTAGTGTCCACTTTCCCTTTCTTTCAGCTTGGAAGAATTGTTTAACCAATGTAGCCATTTGGGAATATTGGCATAATTTCCCTGTAGGTCCATAACTTTCCAATCGATTTAGAGTTTCTGTGAATTTCTTCCCGATAGATTCAAGTGCTTCACTTTGAGATTTATCGAGGATTTCTTCAGGAGTAATTAGGATATCGCCCAAAAATTTTTTGTCATCTACACTAACATCTGTGTCAATCGTCCGCTAGGCGGTATACATATAGACAGAGAGATACACAGTGAAACCGGCGCGACGCGTATAGCTAGTGGTAATTAGGGTTAGGCATCTACGGTTTCCAAACTATTGAGTGGACCGGAAAGATATGTGAAATTTTTTTGTAGAGAATTCAATATGTAACAAGAAAAAAAAGAATCAAGATTAGCATTTTTATTCATGTATGAAGCTAATAAAAAAAAGTTTGGATGGTCGCAATTTTTTCCTATAAATAGTCTATGACTCTGGGACCCTATTCTCAAATGGTGAGATATTTTGTCGCATGCGAGATTTCTACATTCTCGAACAAAAAACGTGAGTGCCCATTCTCGAATGACGCATTCGAAAATTTTCAATAGACAAATTGTAGAGTGGTCTTAAGCAGTCAACATTTTGATGTCGAATGCGAGATTGAATATTTGACTGATTTCTTCACTTGTTAACTTGGGAATGGCAGTTTCATTGATAGAAATTGAAAATTTGGAAAATCAAGAAAATCATCAACGGCCACTAGAGAACGTATATAATGCGATCAGATTTTTATCGGACATAAAATGTATAAAAACATTAAGGTAAGAAATTAGTGAGAGTCCATTGCACTGCTAGTGAGTGCTAGAACCATTTCTGGTACAGGGACATAGGTCTTCTGCATGTTTTTTGCCAGATGAAAGTGGCTCATTCTAAGTATTTTTCTTCCATCAAGTTGAGTGTTTCCTTTTAAGATGAAATACAATAACTTTTTTCTTTTCACTGCCATTATTATTTCAACATATCATTGACATCACCTCTTCTTCTTCTTCTTCTTTTGGGTTTATTGGATTTCTGTCACCTTTCGGTAACAATTTCTCCAGATCAGGTAATTAATTTTTTCAAGAATATATATGGTTATGTAATAATATTATCTCTCGACTCGAGCACTAAAGACACCGTAGTCCGTCACCATGCCCGGAAGCCGAGTTCATCAATGTCCAAAGATTCTATCGTATGTGCTCATGCTGAGCACGTTTGATTTCAAGTATGGCCCCTTTATCCGGTGAATCCGTCACCATCCGGCCTCTATACCGGCGTAGATATAAAAGGGCTTGATAATTTTCACACACACTTATTAAACTTCACAATAAATATTGGATTTAATCCAGATCAGGTAATTAGAAAAATTATGGACTTGCACACACATTAACCTGACTTTTGACCTGGAGACGCCATATGTCTCCTTCCATGGTCAAAAGGCGAATCCCGACATCACCTCCATCATAACAACAAAGAAACCACAACACATTGGCACAGAACACATTCGAGAATCGTTAATTCGATGTTGCCAGTTCATGCTATTCGACAAATTTTGTCTCATGCGAGTTTGAAGTCGAAAGCAATCGAGAATACCACACTTTAACGTTGTGCGACAATTTCTATCGACATATGTCGCATACGACATATTTCGTTCGACATTCGAGAATAGGCCCCCTGGACTACAAACAAATCAAATATTCAAGTTTAGAATTAATTAAGGAGAAGGATATAGATATGAGACATTCTACTTCATTCTATACCCAAAAAAGTATACCTGTTATAGGAGATTTTTTTTCTAAGTATTTCAATATAAAAATGAGTACACATCCATGCCAGAAAATTATTTTCTTGGTGTATTGTTGACCTGTTGATTATATCTAATTTGGGTTCACTTTTTTTCAGGCATTGCAGAGGGCATCCCACATTATTAGTGAAATAAGAGAAACGCACATGTGGTAAACCAAGAAACTTTATTAGTAATTTGAAATTAGGCTCGATATTGAAGTGTCATGTAACTAGTCATGATTTTTTTTGTTAATTCATACGTATTGAATAAGGCTCTCATTGATATCATTGTTCACAAAGTTCACATCGCAAAAACACATTATTTGATCGCTAAATCGCAAAAAAGAACAAAAGTCTTGGTTGCATTTATTTTCATATGTTGTCATAGTAGACGTATGTCAGTGATACATTATACTTCAATTGATTTTTCAACAGTTGATATTGTCTGATATAATCTTGCGTGTAAAATTCATTTGATTTATTGATTCATTAATCTGGATCCGATTTGTAAAACGAATGCTTCTTTGAAAGTGCATTTTCCATATCATATAAAATTGCGAAACTCTCTTATTTTCTGAATCATTGAAATTCTAATGATAATTAGTTGTTGTTATTGCAATTGGTTACACTGTTACACATCAATGACATATTCGGATTTTTTTGAGAAATTTGGATTCTAGAGCAGATTATTGCTCTGGAATTGAAGTGAATTTGTTTCAGATATCGAATCAAATACATTAATAACAAGACAGTCGCCATCTGCCTTATTCTGTTGAATAAATGTTTTGTAAATAGTAATGTGAGCACCTATTTGAAGTGAGCACTCGGGTGATTATTTTGACTAAGACAAATATTTCTTTTTCTAATTGATATTTTGCATCTATAAATATTATTGCATTTCCTAGAAATCCTATACAACTAACGATTTTGTTGAAGTTTTTGTTAATGGAAGTAGGTATAACAATCCTGAAGTAGTCATTCCTCTATTTATGATATTCATTACCTTTACCGACTATTTTAGTTATCAATGTTTCTCTCCAAAAATAAAAGTTGAAAATTTAAAATATCCTTGATGGTCCTTGATTTCTCCAGTTATCCTCAAGCTAAGTTTATTGCCGGGAGGTTCTGGCTTTGGCGATACAAGCAATGAAACGTATGGTTTCTTAATGCTCAATGGGCTTATATCACAAAAGATTTTTATTCCATAATTCGATAGAACTCACCCAAACTAGCTCACCACCGCAAACCGTTTCTTGCTGTGAGCTCCCTACGTTTTATAAAAAATTATTGAAATTCCCGATTTTTCGGACCTCTGAAAACGAGGCGATGATGTGACGTCAAAAACCTAATAGTAAAACAAGACTATTCCAGACAGAGATGAATAATACATGATTTCTGACAGAGTGAATTAACGCGAGATCACAGTTGAAAGAATTGATATATCAGTTGCCTCAGTCTCCGTCGGGCGTTTGGTATTTTCTTTTAACTATGGCGAGATGAGGTTTCTACGTCATTAGAGGGTCCGTTTTCAGAAGGTACTATTATTTATATCAAAAAATAAAACGTTCCAGTTGATTTTTCGATCGAATTGTGTCGTCAATTATTTATGTATAAAAGGATCATTATAAACATGGTTTGAGTTGAAAGTTCTGCTAAGGTGTACGCGCCCGTTAGATTTGGGTAATAGCAGCCCCGCAGCAAATCGCGCTCTGACCGGCGTTGTGTTGATATTGGTATCACTAACGCAAAATCGCCTAACATTAGACTAGGATCAATACCTGTGTCCTCCAGTGATTTTGATGGTTTTACTTCATTGATATTACCAAAAATAATTTCTCTTTCCAGCCATCGATGCCCGAAGATAAGTGAAATTTTATTTGGCAGTTGTACGATGAATGATATTCATCATACAGGGTGCGGAAAAATTGCAAATTGAGGAAACCTTATCAGGAATCTGTGATAATAGGCCTGTAAAAACAAATTTTCATAATATTGTTACGTTATTCTGGTGCAGAAGCGAACACGACATTATATATTTTCGAACTGATTTATTTTAACTAAAGGAACACTAACTTAATTATATCGAACTTATAACGACTATTTATGTGAAACGATTTATATCACGCGGTATATGACTATCTCTCTGACACTCGCTGCTTGACTGACTGACGGCAGTTTTCAGGCCGTCCTTATATATTATATACCAGTAATTTTGCACTTATCATGCGATGGGTTTTTTTCCGAATTTTTTTTTGGTACTTACGTATTTTTGTCTGAAAAACACGAATTTGATGATGAAAATGTGAACAAACCATTATTTATCAAGATATTTCACTACAAAGTCACAAATTTCACCTTCTTTTCCGCCTGTCTTTGAATGGCATTTAGAACAATTTGCCCTTCTTTTTCCATCATTGGACAATTTATATATATCACACAATGTTGGACACATTTTTTTCATTATATGACTCAACTAGAAATATGATTTTCTTGTGAATTTATCCATGTTTAGTGAAAAGAAGGAAGACTATCATTTGAAATAATGGCGTGTGTAATGTCATTCCAAAGCAATCTATTGACATTTGACATCTGGTATTTGGATTGCCTATGGATTAAATGGCCGTCATCTGGTATGCTTGCTCACTAAATAAGAAAAACTCATCATAAAAATCATATTTCCTGTTGAATTTTCTAGCTTGAAATGTGTCATTGAAGTACATCATGAGTATATAAAGTGTCCAATGACAAAATAAAAAGAGCAAGTACCTGTAAATGCATCCAACCCAAAGGGGAAAATACGGCAAAATTTCGAACTTTTTCTTGAAATATCTCGATAAATAGTGGTTTGTTCACATTTTCATTATCAAATCCGCGTTTTTCAGACAAAAATATGTAAGTACCAAAAAAATTTTCGAAAAAAAAAAAAACTCATCGCATGATAAGTGCAAAATTACCTAATGAAGTTAGATGAATACAAAGAAATATTGAAGAAAGAAAATTTGAGAGAGTTTCTCTGCACTCACCAGCGTGAAAAAAGTGAGGTTATGATGAAACAACACGAAACACTAGAACAACACATGACACATGATCCCGATATTATTATTGAAGCGAATGAGGAATACAAAAACACTATATAGGAATCAATACGATCACTTAGTTTTTAGGGAACACTCAGTTTGGAACGATAAATAATCCCTTTCGCGTGTTTTTCGATGTCGATCACAAAATTCGACCATAACGTGATAACATCTAATATAAGACTGTCTTAATTTACCACCTGGTCCCGAATGAATGACTAATAAGTTGAATCATTCTGCTAACCGATTAATTTCCGAACAAAAAATGATTTATCTATGACAAATGATGATAATAAAATTGAACAGGGGGGGGGGAGATATTTTGTATACAGGTGATATTTTTTTTTCTGTATTCACTAACGATATGGAAGAATTTTACATGAGCTGAAAATATATTTTTTCCAAAAATCTCGTGATTATGGAAGAACTTAACATACAATATTATGTAGTGAAGAGATCGAACCCTTTCCATTACCAAGAAATAAACTGATCAACATTGATAACGTCGTGCTCCAAAATATAGCGTGAATTCAAAGTAGACTCACGAATTTCCTCACCAGTTTGAAATCGGTTTTCACCGATGATTAGCCTAATCTCTTGACAGTTTGTTGTGGCAATATGAAACTTCTCCAATTTCAGATAACATTGCTACAGGGTGATAATTGAATGTGTGTAAAATTGCATCGTGGTCGTCTCCTTACCGTTTGAACAGATAATTTTTTCAATTGTTTTTCTCACCTGTATCCTCTTGATTGATGCTTTCTCTCGAAACGTTTTCGGAATTTTCAAATTCAGAGCTTTGATAATCGTGTTATGAATATTCATTCAGAATGATGCATTTTTTCGACGATTAATTGAATGAAATTGAAAGTTGGAATTCTTCTCCGAAGAATCAACGTTGTATGTATAGTCGTCGGATATGTGATCGTGTTCGAACACAGAAAATTCTGAAAGAGTCTATACAAAGTGATACAAGAAATACTGAATGATGGAATGGAGAATAACGTAGTCTTCAGTAGATGAAACATAATTTTCTCTGTGTTAATAGTGGAATAATGGAGTGTTACTTCGTCATGAGGATGTCTGGTGTCTGACCTCGAAATGGTTTTGTTATTTCTTGGATCGAAGGTCATATAATGAAAGTACGCATTTTTAAACGAAATGATCCATTTTCGTTAAGATAATAATAATAATAATAATAAATGCTATTATTGAGAGGTTACATACAAGTACAGAAAACCTAACAAGAGGCAGGATTCAATATCTGCGCATGAAAAATTCATAGCAGAGCTTGCTCTCCCATCCAACCTTGGATAAATTATAAAATTCAAAAAATTACGATTGTAGTTCCAGAAGTATAAAATTCATATTTATTCTTGACGATGGATATACAAGGTGCGATAAAAGATATGTCCAGATTGTCCCGGGCATATTGCCACATCAAACTGTCAAGAGATTATGCTGATCATCGGTAAAAACCGATTTCAAATTGGTGAAGAAATTCGTGAATTATTCTACTTTTAATTCAGACTATATTTTGGAGCACGACGTTATCAATGTTGACCAGTTTAATTCACCACAGTGACATACAGGCAAACAATTTTTGTTTTGAAAATATTGGTCACACGTAGTGGAAATAAATCAAAGGAGTAGCTACTCTGAGATTTCTAGATGTATCGATCGAGTGGTATCGTGGTGGTATCAGCTCAATATACCTATCAGATTATACTGTCACTCATAATAAAAAAACCGAAGAAAAACACACCAGCATGAAAAAAGTGAAAAATGATTTCTGCAATTCCCTAGGAAGGAAAAGTACGAGGTTGCTCTCTACATTGCGACAAGGAAATGTTTACTTTGGATAGAGAGGTAGGCGGAAAAAGTTTTTTTTTGTTCAATTTACCGATTTTTCAGTTCGGTCTCTTCATGTTTACTTCCCATGTTTTGAGTTTATCTTCATCTGTTGGAAAGCTTACAAATTGAAATTTGCCATCTAACTGATTGGCACAGCACATTTCGCCATTTTTTTCAAAAGAGAATAGGAAAATATCGTATTCAGTAGATAATATCCTTATTTAATCGTAAAATGTTTCTATTTTCTTGAATTTTATAATCATAACATTCAAAAATCATTATGATGTTGGTTTGTCTCTTTCGTGGGGGTGGCGCCACCTACATGTCATTTGAGTCTTTTGAAAAGTCATAACTTTTTTGTGCGTACCTGTATCACGTTTTATGTAAGGAGAATAGATTTCTAGGACACTTTTGTATAAAAAATATATTCATGGTAGAGGTTGCTGCTAGCAACTAGCTCTTATTGTGATAGGCAGACCGTTGACTACTAGGGACTCAAGAAATTGAAGACGCTGTTCTTCAGGCAATCGAAGAAGATCCACAGACAAGCACGGGAAAAATTGCGCAAAATCTTACGAGCCCCATGGAAATAATTCAATTGCAACAATAATTTCAAATTCCAACAACTCAAAATCAGTTGCTCGCAGCCGACCTCTACCAAGAATATATGTTTTACACAAAAGTTTTCTACTATTAAACGTGATATAGGTAGCACCAAAAAGTTAATATGACTCTTCCAAAAACTCAAAAGACATGTAGGTGACGCCATCCCCACGAAAGAGACAAATTAACCTAAAATTTGAAAGTGTCATTGAAAAATACCCCTAGACATCAAATTTCATTCGAATATCATAATTATTTTGAAATTCATCTACAAAGAATGAAGGTAAAAATTCAACTTTCACCCTCTGTATCTCAGAAACAAATAACTTTCGGACGAATGTTCGGACGAATTTTCTTCTTATTTTGACGTCAGCAACATGCTCCTGAATTTTTTACACGTACTTAAGGAACACCCTGTATAACTGTTGTTCTGCTAGAAGTGTATCACTAATATAAATTGAAGTGGGTGTTTATACCCTATTCCCATTTTCCATCTACGACGAAAGTATATTCTCATATATTTCAT